CAAGCAGGGGGAGTGGGAGAGGGAGAAGCGGGCTTCCCGCCGAGCAGGGAGCCCGATGCGGGGCTCGATCCCAGGACCCTGGGATCATGACCTGAGCCTAAGGCAGACGCTTAACGACTGAGCCACCCAGGTGCCCCTAACAAACGTCATTCTTAATAGAAACACTTAGAATTATTTTCTTTAAGACTGGTGTGTCTCCCAGACCTCAAAAAAATGGCCTCCAAATGATCCTTGCCTCCAGATATGTTTACGTTCATGTCGTTCCCTCTCACAGTCAATAGGGCTGACTCCTGTGACCAGTGGGATATTGTGTAAATGGTGGAGTGTGAGTTCCAAGAGTAGGTCATAAAGGACATTGAGGCTTCTATCCTGTTCTGTTGCAGATCACTCTCTTGGTTCCCTCACTTTGGGGACTCCTACCAACAGCTGTGTGAGTTGGCCACCTGGGAAGCAGATCCTACAGCCCGAGGCAAGCCTTCAGATGACTGCAGCCCCAGATGACATATTGACTTCAACCTTAGAAGAGACCTCAGCCAGAACGACTGAGTTATGCTAATCCCAAATTCTTGACACACAGAAACCATGTAAGATAATAAATGTTCATTGTTGTTTTAAGCTGCTAAGTCTTGAAGTAATTTGTTACACAGCAATAGATCGTTAATAGTAAGAACAAAACAAAGACTCATACTATCCAATACACTGTCACATAGTACTAGTTTTACTAGCCATGCCTATAAGGCAAGAAAAATAAATAAATATATAAGAATTGAAAGAAAATAAATAAAACTACCATTATTATTTACAGACAATAAACTATCTACTTAGAAAAATTAAAAATAGGCAAACTAAAGTTTAATAAGGTTGCCAGATATAAAAAAGTCAACTTACAATAATCAATGGCATTTCTAGCAATAACCAATTACCAAATGTGATAGAAAATAAATTACCATTCACAATGGTAACCAGAAATATAATGTAGCTAGGAAATACCTTAGCAAAGAATTCAGAAGCCTCTATGAGGAAAAAGAAAATGGAAACTGTTATTAAAGTACAAAAAGGAATATCTAAGTAAATTAAAAGATATTCCACGGTCTTGGCTGGATTTGAACTAACATTATAAAAGTGTCAATTTGGGCGCCTGGGTGGCTCAGTTGGTTAAGCGACGGCCTTCGGCTCAGGTCATGATCCTGGAGTCCCGGGATCGAGTCCCACATCGGGCTTCCTGCTCAACAGGGAGTCTGCTTCTCCCTCTG